TTCACACCAGTCGAAGCACTCGAGAGTGGTTCAGTCGTCATCAAATCGCTCTTTTGCCCTGGCCAGCACATAGCCCCGACTTAAACCCAGTCGAGAATGTGTGGGCTTCATGGTGCGCAAGATCTATGCGAACAATGAGCGATTCCACGATGTCTGCGAGCTTAAGGAGTCAGTCATTGATGCATGGCACCAGGTCGACCGAAAGCTTATTGAAAACCTCTATTCGAGCATGGACGGAGAAATGGAGCTCCAATAGATTACTAAATTAACAATTCATTCGTTTTGTTGTACACTTGTTGTTGGATGATCGATTTGTTTGGTGGAACTATCATTTTGTGGAATTGTCAGAGTACCAATTTTCAAAAAAATGAACAAAAAAACTTGCTTTCAAGTTAGTTTCCGGTGTTGACATGCAAACTGGTATTGATTACCTCACCAGTTTGGCTAACGCGCAATACTGCGCGCATGGTTAAACCTATGGTACTGATCACTGAGGGGTTTCTCTGCTGAGCACAACACTTGGCCCAATCCCCTTGTTTCGGAATACGGCCATCGTGTTTCTCCCTTTTAATGAACATTTGCCAATGACTGGGCTTATCACGTTTTTGACAACACTCGCCATTCGTTGGAAATAGGAAAACATAGCGGTTGAAAGAGTTGTCAAATTGCTGGAGCCTTTACACTACCAAATTATAGAGTTTCAGTGATAGGGACATTGATGACGGGTGACAGGATCTTATCAATCGATAAGAAACGATAAGGGGTCATTATCATTACCTCTCTTATCACTATACCCCCAAGTCAAAGGCTCAGTGTGCATACTTTTCCTTCAGCCATCACTTCCCTGATAGCCTTAGAAAATGAACTCATCCTACTATATAATGTCGATGTCGACGAGCGGGGGGGGTATGTAGTTCGCCTGAAACAGGAATCTCAGGGAAATTCGAGGAGAACCGAAAAACACTTCAACGAGCGGATCGCATGCTAAATGAAAGGAAAGCGTTCGTCGGTAGGCATTCCGGTGCAGGTAATGGAAACGAAATCTGCTATTTCACTGAGCGATTCATATTGCGCTGTATTGGCCGACTACACATTGTATCTATCTACAGATTTATGTATTCTATGGGCGTCATGGCGCGGACTACACCGCTGCTGTAAATGGAAGCGCGTGCTGAGTTGTGCGGGATCCTAAGCCTTGCTCTGTCTGTTACGATTCGATCACTACAGCGCCTTATGAGCAGCGCACTACCGAAAAAGTTCCGTTAAAATTATGGAGCCGCCTGGCGAAGCCAGGCCAGCTCGGCGAAGCCGAGCTCAAGAGAAGGAGGAGAGCACCGTGCGATCCGACTGGTTAATACATAAATCACTTGTGAGAGTTATCGAAATTAGTTGAGAACATAACATGAACTTAACAGGTGTGACCACTTCGAATTCTTGGTCTACCATGTATGTTTCAGGAGGACGATACGAACACCGCTGTGCCACCTACGCCGAAACAAGTATGCTTTATTTTCGTCTCTCTACCATGGAATCGGAGTTCTCCCCTGTCATATTGAAACGCACAAATAGATTTCTATGTGCCTTTTGTAGAAGAGGGCACACCAACTCATAGCTTTTCCTTTAGACATATATATTTCAGCAGGACGATACTAACACTGCTGTGCCACCAACTCCCAAACAGGTGTGGTTTGAAATAGTCCGGATTATTCACTGTATTGATGAAGATGTACTTCTTCTTTGCACTTCTCTGAGAGCGCGCATACCACATCGAACTTTTTAATCTCTTATGTATGTTGCAGGAGGACGATACGAACACCGCTGTACCACCAACGCCGAAACAAGTATGTTTATATGGTTTACATGAGGCTCATTTTGTCTTCCTCCAAATAACAGAACTTCTTTCTTACATTATCCGAATACATTAATGCCCTGGTTTTCAATGAGTGTACATTGAAATGAGTGTGCCCTTGGGGAAGGGTTTGGCACCGCAGTCACTCATACTGCCTGACACACCCCTTCATCCACAGCGATCCAGACTACACATCAATGTATGGATTTGTTCTGAATGTGTTCATTCGGATTTGCTCCTTCCATTCGTCAAAGAAGCACACCAATCAGTGA